ACTAGAACTGAACTAGAACTAGAACTAGAACTAGAACTGAACTAAATCTAGATATGCACTGAATTAGTTTTGCACTGGTGTTGAAGATGATATGATCGGTTCCAATTACTTAAGTGTATGCTTTTTAACATCACTTGGTTGATGTTGTATCCTAACTACCAGAGTTATTTATGACCAAAGTTAAAAGAATTAAAATTTATTATGCTTTTACTATAAGTAGCATATTATTTTTAAAGGGTTAAAAAAATTAAATTACCATGCAAAATTCGATTTGCCAACCCTTTAAAAATAATATTTTCTATTATTTAATTAATTTTGCCCATACACAATATCCAAAGCGTTTGTATTAAAATTAATTAATTTTATTCTACTTATTCATCTAGATAATTTTAATATACCAAAATCATTCACATCATTAACATTTAACAACTAACAACAATAAATTAGTTCTACCCAACTGATTATATCACGCTGTTTTTTTGAAACATACCACATTCAGTATACAATAGGAATTCATAAATTTGATTTGTAACAATAATGAGACAATGTTTTCATTTAATGTGACCACAGGAAAAAAATATTCAAAGACTCGCCATTAACGCACAGTATGTGTGCTAAGTACCAAGATGCACCTTGCCCTTTTAAATTGATGTTACAAATTAAAAATTTGTTAAATTAATTAAAGATGTATAGATGAAGAAAAAAAATTCATTATAAATAAAGTCATTAAAAAGTTTAAGTCAATAGCAACAAGAGCACATAGTGTTAACAGTAAGTAAATAATACTATTTCAAAGTCAAATTATGTACTATTAAGCTCACGAACCTTAGAAAATTAAGAAAAACCCTTCATTTTACTTGCGAACACAAACACAGACAGACATACATATTTTCGTTTTCTTCGGTGTACTATACAGAACATAATGTTGTATGTTGAGTTTTGTTGATATATTTGCCATCCTTTTCAGCAAATTAGCCATCAATTAGAAACTTAATTAAGATTTTATGTAAGATTATGATTAAAGAAAATATTATTAAACAGAGAAAATATTATACTTTGATTTTACATTTTTAAATCTTTTATAACCTCCTTTACTAAAGTTTTTACATTTCTTATATTAAGCAAATAAGTTTTTTTTTATTCGACTCTTGCTTACAAGACATGCACACTATACACTCTTACCCATTAACCCGAGCAACAAATGTTATACCTTAACAAGTTTTATATTTTCCCTTTTTCGATATTTTTATTTAGCCAAAATGAAAACTTAGATTGTCATTCAAAACGTTGCTTTACTTGTGGCACAAATAATAACAACTAAGAATGAGTTTGAAAGTAGTAGTTGGTTTGTATGAAAAAATCAACATTGGTTAGATGAATCTTCATACCTAAAAACATAAACAGTTGGGCTTATAAATGTATCCTCTATATAACTTATTTAAAGTGTTGTACCTGCGAATGTTACAAAGTAACCTGCTGCTGTATACAAAGATAAAATAAATATAAAAGTTATATAATTAAAATAACAATCAGGAACTTATGAAACACAAAAAAATATAAAAGTAAATACAAAAAAGTAAAACATATTGAAACCTATGTAGTTAGAAAAATGTCAATAAAAGTTGTACGGAAAGAATAACAATAACAAGTAAGGGCGGTGCCGACCATATCGTTACCAGTTATAAAAATAAATTGTGATTTAGTTTTCATAATAAAGTATTTTAGTTGAATTGTACCTAGTCTCAGATATAAGTATATCCATTTATTGTTGGAAAACTAATTTTCTGAAATAAGCTTTACATGAGGCTTGGGGGGAAATATGAACAGATCCTCATAAAATGGGTGGATTTACGGTCACATAAAATGTATTTATACTGAATTTAATGGCAGCATTAGACTTTTTAAGCAAATGGTACATATTGAAGTCATATCAGGCTTTGTATAGGGGTTAGGGTTAAAAGAGGCCCTATCAGTATAAAATTCATCGGGGTCCTCAAGGCTAGTATAAAACTTGGCTGAGTAGTTTTTTTTTTTGAGTATATTAAACATAATTATGAGGTTGAAAGCCCTATTTAGGGGTCACAGTTGTATGGGACTAGGTGAAATAATGGGCCGATCTTAACAATTTTCAATTGGCTACAAAGGACAATAGAAGATCAGGTACCAAATTTAATTATCTTCAAAACTGTGACGTGTAGTTTAATTAGAAGGTTTACATGGACGGACGGTCAGACGGTCGGACTGACTAAATCGATCGATAAAATGATTCTAAGCCAATTGGTATACTATATTATTGGGCGTTACAAACCTTCCCACTAAAGTGGTGTAGGGTATAAAAACGTAACTATATTGAGGGAGAAGAGAACACCTGTCAGGATAAACGTGGAAGCCAATTAAATAGTTTTGAAGGGTTAAAAAAAAAATGAAAAATCTATAGATATGAAGGAGTCGCGTTACTAACTAAGTGTTCATAGCACCGCGTAGACGGCTAAAGCTAGAATCATGATATTTTAAAAGAATATGAAAAAATCGTACTTATTTTTGGCTTTTATGCTAATATTGGGATTTTATGTTACTTTTTTAACTAAAAAAATGTTGGTACAAAAAATATGCCTTCAGTTTTGAAAAAATATAATTATTTTCATTAAAGTCATTAAACATCACTTCCTTTAAAGCTAAAGAATATTTTAATAGTTTAGACATAATTGGCCCCGAATGAATGATGATATACTATACATATATGAGGAATATTTTTGGTACATTTTTTGTTCTGGTACTTAAAAATAAAATTTTATGAATAATAACAGTTACGTTCATGTTTATTACCATCTTACCATTACCATTACTACTCTACATTTTGAATTGACCTTCACTTATCTTCTTAAATTTCTAATCAACAACAAATATAGTACAGTGGACTAAAAAAGGTGCTGTATTGAGTACTTTTTTATGCCCTTCACATTTGTAAGAATGGTATATATAACATTGTCATTACGTTTGTTATTTCTAGAATATAATTTTCTAAGCCTATAAAGCATATATATTCTGGATCCTTATAAATAACATATAGATTAAACCATGTCCGTCTGTCTGCCAGTCTGTCAGTCTCTCTGTCTGTCTGTTTGTCTTTCTGTCTATCTGTCTGTCTGTCTGTCTGTCTGTCTGTCTGTCTGTCTGTCTGTCTGTCTCTCTCTGTCCGTCCGTCTGTCAGTCAGTCTGTCTGTCTTTTGAAATCAATTTTCTGAAGACCCCAGATATCTTTGAGGTCTAAATCTTAAATAATTCTATCGAGAAGTTTGCTATTTAAAATCAGCAAAATCTCTCGATAAATAACGGAGATATGAGCAAAAATCCGAGACAACATCTGAAAATTTCGTCACAAAATTTTTATTTTTTGCATGCAGACGCATGAAAACAACAACGACGTTCAGATTGTGTTTGTTTGTTACTACGATGTTTATAACAAACAATTAACCACTTAAAACAAAAACAACCTTTAGTATTTGTGTTTGTTGTTTTGATTTGATTTTTTTGTCACGGGGATGGAAAAGCATGTATCGTCACCTAAAATTCAAAAGGGCGTCACAACCAAAAACCTTAAAAAAGACTTTTTTTCCACTGCATACATGTTGACGCAAATTTTTAGAACTCTATTGTCAAAAACACCGACATTATTAATATGAAATTCAAAAAGGCGAATTTCCGTTTGGCGAATTTACCACATGGTTGAGTCGGTAGACAGACATACATACGACTCTGCTATGAAATTTGCCCTATAAATTTAACCACAATATTTTAAATATACTAAAAATTGTACAATATTGTTAGGCTTTCTTAGAATCTCCGTTACTTATTGGTCGATCTTGATGGTTCTAGAAAGCCCTCAGACTTTAACATACATACGGACTTTAACATACATACGGACTTACAAACATAAAGACTGAGGTCACTGTATTGACCTGGCTGTATACAATTTTTAAAAAAAATCTCCAAAAATTTTTTATAAAATTTCAAATCTACACGATTCAAGTGAAATAAATGTTAACAAAAGTAAAATGTTTATATTATTTTCTTAAAGGGAATGAATCATCTTAACATAAACAAGATTTCCACTTATATACTGACAAAAATCACATTCACTATGTTAAAAATGAGAACATGACATATATTTAAAAATTGTCTTTTAAATAGGCGCAACAGTGTTATATTTATATTTCATTTTTTAAGGATGACATAATTTCATCATTAGGACACAGGTATAATATTCCATCAATATATTACAGACCTCAGGTTTACTACAAAGTCCTTAATGTTTACTTTGTAAACAAGCAAACATAAACACACAAAAACCAAACGGAAGTAGCCATAAACTTACATACCTTTACAACATCACTACACTTAGGGATACGGAAATTCAATCATCATCAACATTTTGATAGATAATTTAAAACTGATTGACTTTATTTGCCATACAACCATAAATATAATGACATTTAATAACAGACACAAACAAAAAAGCAGGCAAAAGGCTTAAGTGATAACAACAATCAGCTGATATCAGCAAATATTTACCAAAAATAAATATAAACAAAGCAAGGCAATTGGCAAAAAAAACAACAAAATCCTGCAAATAATGGGCAAAAAATTAACAAACACACACACAACAGAACAGCAGAATTTTTACTTTTTTTTGGGTAGAAAAAAGAGAGGTTTCTTGTACAATTTCACTAATAACCACAATAACAACAACTACAAGAAAATATTACCAAAAAAAAAAAAACATAAATGTTAGTTTAAACAACAACGCAAGCAATTTATTTTAACAAGTAAATCTCAAAAAGTAAGCTTTTTTTGAATATAAACAATAAAAGCTTAGGATACTGAATTCGCTTTATTAAGGCAAAACATGTCGAAAGCTTTTCTTTTCAAAATAAAAACAATGAATGAATGAAGAAATTCCTTTGCAGAATCTATTCATTCAATACAGTTTACGAGCAACTTTCAAAGCGTTAAGACGAAAAATCGGAGAAAATTTGGAAAATAAATACAAAAACGCAGCGGTTGTTATAAAAAAAAAGAAAATGTTTGCAAAAGAAATTCTATAAAAAAGTAAAAAAAAAATTAAATGAAATAAATAAATCATTAAAAGTGGAAATTGTATAAAATTTAAAGAAAATATAATAAAATTGTTGAAATTTTCTAGAGAGTTTAATTTAATTAAAATTATAACGAAAAATTTAAGAAAACAAAGTTCAAAACAAACTTCTAATTACTTCTAATATCTAAACAAGTCACACTTTTTATTATTGTTTTTCCACCTTTAAACTGGAAGCAAAAAAAAACAACAACAACAAATTTAAGGAAAACACAGAAAGCGTCAACATTTTTTCTAACGGTAAACACACACAACAACAAAAAAGCATACAAGTGTGTGTGAGTATGTGTGCTTAATTTTATAATCAAATGGTTTTTAACCCTCATACCCTTACTTCGCCCCCTACATTCTTATTTACTCTTCATACTACCAGTTCGGATAAGGAGACCGAGACTCCATGCTTCTTTCTCAAACACTCACACTCATACTTATACTCTAAACTCTATTTTGGTTTGGTTTTGTTGTTTATTTGTTTGTGTTTTTATTCTCTCATCTATGGGGTATAAATAAACATAATTGTGTGTGTAAATTTGTGCCTCTGTTTATATGTGTGCCAGTCACACAGTTTCTATTAAGTTGTTTTTGTATATTTTCTAAAGTTTTACTTCTATTTTTGTTGAAACCATTTAGAATTGTAAACAGTGGGTATATTTTTTTTATTTGTAAGAAAATAAATAAAGTAAATAATAAATTTATTTTTTTTAAATCAATAGTTTTCAACTTTTACGCCAAAAAATATATGTGGGAGGTTTTAATCAGCTTCCTTTATCTTAAGGGTATTATAAACAGAAGATTGATTTGAATGGGTAATAAAAAATTTTCGGTCAAGTTATTAAATAGTCCATCAAAAGTTATGCTGAAATATGTTTAAGGAATTTTTTAAACTTTAAGATTGAAAAGTAAATATTTGATGATTTGTAGGAATTTTCAAAATATTTGGATTTAAGTTTTTATACCCACCATCAAAAAAGGGGGTATATTTATTTTGTCATTCCGTTTGTAACACATGCAAATATTGGTCATAGACCCACAAAAGTATATATATTCCGGGTCCTTATTAAATTCTAAGACGATCTAGCCATGTCCGTCCATCCATCCGTCCGTCTGTCTGTTGAAATAACGATAGCGACCACAAGAGAGTTGGAAATTTCGCACAGATATTCCCTATTGCTAAGGTTTGTTTGGTATTGAAAATGGGCAATATCGGTCTACTTTTTCGATAGCCCCCATACAAGTAGACCTCCTGAAAACAGCTTTAACGGGCATAACTGCTTTAAAAATACGAGTATAGAGATGAAATTCGACATAAATAAGTTTTATTTGATCCAAAATCTTTCTACCAAATTTTTTAAGGATCGGTTCATAATTGACCCTTCCCTACATATAAGGTCCCCTTCAAAAAATGACTTTAACACTCATTACTAGCCCAAAAATGCGAGAACAGCGATGATATTCAATGTAAACAAGTTTCTTAGGAACCAAAACCTCTCTACCAATTTTTTTTTAGGATCGGCCTATAAATGACCCTACCCCCATTTAAGGTCCCCTTCAGAAAATGACTTTAACACTCATTACTGGCCTAAAAACTCGAGTATAGCGATGAAATTCGGTATAAGTAAGTTTCTTACGAACCAAAACCTTTTAACCAATTTTTTTTAGGATCGGCCCATAAATGACCCTACCCCCCATATAAGGTTCCCTTCTGAAAATGACTTTAACACTCATTAGTGGCCAAAAATGCAAGTATAGTAAGTTTCTTACAAACCAAAACATATCTACCAATTTTTTTTAGGATCGGCCCATAAATGACCCTACAACACACCACCCCCCCCCCCCCCCCCATATAACATCCCCTTCAGAAAATGACTTTAACACTCATTACTGGCCTAAAAATTCGAGTATAACGATGAAATTCGGTATAAGTAATTTTTTCACGAGCCAAAACCTTTAGGAAATAGCTTTAACGCTCATTACTGGCTTAAAAGTACGAGTAAAGCGATGAAATGAGACACACGTAAGTTTCTTACGAGCCAAAACCTCTGTATCAATTTGTTTTTAGGATCGTCCCATAAATGACCCTTCCCCCATATAAGGTCCCCCTCTGCAAATGACTATAATGCTCATTACTGGCTTAAAAATATGAATGTAGTGACGAAATTTGACACACATAAGTATAGTGCGAGCCAAAATCTCTCCAACAAATTTAGGGAGGGTTGGTCCATAATTTACACACAGTACAAAAGTAACACAAATTAATTTTTTTTCAGAAATGGGAAACATTTTTTTTTACAAATTCTGAAACATAAAGAAGACATAACGTTTTTTTTTTTTAAATTAACAAAAACCAAATACACTAATATTTTTATAGAACAAGTATCTTATGCCTAGTTTAAGGCTTAAACTTAATGCTTCAAGTATATAAAAACGCAAAAATAAAATTTTGAGTTCAGTAATTTTAGTACTGGGTGTGTGATATGTCTCATATAGATTTTGGCTCCTATTAAACTCGTTTCATCGTTACACATGCATTTTTATATCTTTTCCCAAAAGACAATAAAAAATTTCTAATTTTGTGGCAGAACTTATTTGGTAAAATTTTTCCTACCTACCTGTCTTTTATATTTGGCTGCGTATACGTAATATCAATCATACGCCTAGGTACGACTAATTATTATACCCTCCACCACCATCAGTGGTGATAGAGGGTATATATAAGTTTGTCGTTCCGTGTGTAACACCAAGAAATATTCATCTAACACCCAACAAAGTATATATATTCTGGGTCCTTATGAAATTCTGAGTCGATTTAGCTATGTCCGTCTGTCCGTCCGTCTGTCTGTCTGTGTAAAACACGCTCACGTTAAAACTAAGTAAAGGAAATCAATCAAATTCACCCAAAATATTTATTATTATTCTAAGCAGTTTGGTGTTAAAAATCAGCAAAATCGGTTCACAACGTAAAAAGTTATGAGTAAAAATTTCAGACTACCTCGAAAAAAATTACGTTTTTCTAATTCTTTTGAAGTTTTCTCAGAAACTACCAAAGGTATTTCGATGAATTTTGACGCACTTTATTTTTTTAGGGCAGTGATCAATGATGTTTAAAATCTTTACAATCGATCCAATATTTCCCATAGCCCCCATACAAAGGTATATATTCCCGGAAATTTGTTTATCGTTAATAACTCAATCAAATATATCGGTATAAACACCAAATTTTGTACATATAAATATAATATGAACAGAAATCATACTACCAACGTAGATCTCAGTCGGTCCACAATTGGTCATAGCTCCCATATAAGGTCCACTTCCGAAAATCACCTAAACGCACATATTTCATTGATGAATAAAGCTATTGTGATAAAATTCGGGCTGGATATCTTTTGTGTACACACAAATCATTCTACAAAATTTTTTACGGATCGGTCCATTTTTGGTCATAGATCCCATATAAGGCCCACTTCCGAAAATCACTTAAAAGCACATATTTCAATGTCAAGCAAAGCTATCTTGATAAAATTCGACACAAATATGTTTTGCCTAAACATGAATCACTCTACTAAATTTTTTCTGGATAGGCCCATAATTCGTCATAGCTCCCATATAAGGTCCACTTCAGAAAATCACTTAAACGCATATATTTCATCGAATTCTAAAGCTATCGGGATAAAATTCGACTTGAATATGTTTTGTGTACGTACAAATCATTTTACAAAATTTTTACGGATCGGTCCATTATTGATCATAACTCCCATATAAGGCCCACTTACGAAAATCACTTAAAAGCACATATTTCATTATCAAATAAAGCCATCGGCACAAACATGTTTTGCCCAAATATAAATCACTCTGCGAAATTTTTCCCGACTAGGCCCATAATTGGTCATAGTTCCCATATAAGGTCCACTTCCGAAAACCACTTACACGCATATATTTCATTGAATTCTTAAGCTATAGGAATAAAATTCGATTTGAATAAGTTTTGTTTACATACAAATCATTTTAATACTTTTTTCTCGGATCGGTCCATTATTGGTCATAGCTCCCATATAAGGTCCACTTCTGAGAATCACTTAAACGCACATATTTCATTGTCAAATAAAGTTATCTTGAGAAAATTCGACACTTATATGTTTTGTCTTTACATAAATCACTCTACGAAATTTTTTCCGGATAGGCCCTTAATTGCTCATAGCTCCTATATAAAGTCCACTTCCTAAAATCACCTAAACGCACCTATTGGAGTAAAATTATATTTGTTCTTTCTCTGCATTATACGAAATTGTTTCCTGATCGGTGCATAATTGGTCACAACTCCCATATAAGGACCATTTCTGAAAATTACTTGAACGCACATTTTATACATAGGTATACAATTTTTTCTGTATCGGTCCATATTTGGTCACAACTCCCATATAAGGGCCATTTCTGAAAATTACTTAAACGCACATTTTATACACATGTAGGTATAAAATTTGACATAAATGTGTATTTTGTATATATGTATATAAATCATTATACGGAATTTTTTCCGGACCGGTCCATAAAATGTCTTAGCTCCCATATAAGTTTAACTGTTGAAAATCACTTAATACCACTTAATTCGTTATTAAATTATTATATCCGGATAAAATTCGACATAAGTATGTTCTGTGTATAGATAAATCATTCTAAAATAATCTCAAAATTGAGGATATTCACAAAAATATAATTTTAGTTCTTTTCGAGGCCAATTTCTTATATTTACTAATTTCGATATAATGTTCGAATCAATTTTAAAGCTGTTAAAATTATCTCAAAATCGTGAAGATTCACAAAAATAAAAGTTTTATTCCTTTTTCTTACTTTTTCCAATTTCGAACAAACAAATTTTGAAACGAATTCGCAGTACGAATAATTTGATTGTTTTCCATTCGAGAAATTTACGCAACGAATTTTTGTCGACTAGTTTGTCGTGCTATACGAAATTCGTCGTTCGTCCCAATTGTGCGTATACCATAAATGTAATTGCCGAAACTAAAATTACAATTACAAATAATTGTAATTGACTATTGTTCGATTACACATTACAAGTTATTGTACTTGACCATGTAATCATTACACCCATGCCTGTTCACAAAGAATAGCTATGTTTATTTCGCCGCACTAATTGGAGTTATTGTAATAAAGCTTTACACAAGTTTGATATATTTATTAGAATATGATTTCTGGTTATATTTTTCTTGGCTGCTAGAGCAGAACATTAGCAGAGGAGGTGAATACTACCAAGTTAGATATCCTAGAAAGTACTAAAGACGGATTGTCATTTTTGTGCAGAATTTTTCCATAAGACTGTTTTTAAATTGAATGTATTTTCTTCAAATTGCAAGTAAATCTATCTAAGGGAGCTATAATTTAATATACATTGCGTTCCACTTATATCTAAAAGAAAAACTAAAAAATAATTTAAAAATTATTTATTTTCAATAACATACCCCGTAAAAACTTTTATTACCATGTAAGGGGTTCAAATGCTAAAATTTACTTACACAATAGCATTTTAAGTCATTATTTTAACACGGTGATGTCATTGGAGGCAAGTAATTACCACAAACGATTACAAGTAATTAGAAAAAGTAGTCATTGTAAATCGTATGAAAAAACGTATATCATCTCTGGCAAGATGGCTAATGAATTAGAAAGTATTTATATAACACTTATATTAGTAAGACCTTATTAGACTACTTCTATGTAATCCAGACGATATGTAGTAGTCATTGAAAATTATGTTCTTAGGTAACTAATTACAATTGAAAGCCATTACCTAGTTTTTGCTGGGTATGAATTTATATTTTTTCTAACAAACACCAAAAGTTGGCAAATGCTATTTTATGCTTGGATACGTATACGTTATAAATAATTCATATATATGATATAAATATTAATTATACGTCTGAGTAAAAGTGAATTAATTCATTTTATCTTTATATAATAAAGCTGATATTGTGCCCAGTGAGCATCGCTACTGTTAACGTAATGTAATAAAATAGATTCAGGCTGTACTTCGTTATCATGCACAATTGCAATATCAGGCCTCTTATTTTGTTTTATTGAGTACTAGTAATCTGATGGTAAAGTTTTGCTGGTTATGACAAACTTCTGATTAAAAGAAAATATTATGAAATATTCATACTTAGACTATTTATTTAGGACCAATCACTTTTTAGCTGCCTCTTTAAGTTTATTTTTATACCCACCATCAAAAAAGATGAGGGGTATATCGATTTTGACCTTCCGTGTATAACACATTGAAATATTGTTGATTTACCCAGTAAAGTACATATATTCTGGGCCCTCATAAGATTCTAAGACGATACAGCTATGTCCGTCCGTCCGTCTGTCCGTCTGTCTGTTGTTGGCACGATATCGTCCACAACCTCTACCTCCCTCCATATAAGGTCTCCATCAGAAAAAGTAATTACTTTAACGATCACTACTGGCTTAAAAAGCGCTGTCTATAGTTAAACCCATATTAATGTACATCATTCAAATATTACCCTGATTAATATCGATATATGATAATAAAATATTCATTAATATCCGAATTTATTTATATGACAATGAATTGATGGTGGGTATATAAGATTCGGCATAGCCGAATATAATACTCTTACTTGTTAAATATTTATTTACTTACTTTCACATATTCCTTCTTTTTTTACTCCACTGTTTGTCCCTGATTATTACTTGATGTTGATTCAATTTAAAAAAAATTATACGTATATGTTGTTTTTTTTTTTTCTTAATTTTTATTTTTTTTTTACAACCACCACATTTCATTTCAACTTCTTGTGCACATCTTTAAACCACATCTCAACCACAAAAAACAGGAAACGAACATGTAGGAAAAAACATACTGAAATAAATACAACAGAAAAATATAATAAAATGTAATTTATCTGCACTCGTACATCACACATTCAGTGGAAACTATAAAATAAAACAAAAGATAAAAACGACAAGCTAAAGCCACAATAATATTGTGGTTAAGAAAGAAGAAACTTAATATTGAAAACTTGGAAACTAATTTTAACAAAAAATTGATTTTAATTTTACTTAATGTGTTTAATAGCAAAAAGTTAAAAAAAAAAACGAACAAGAAATATTATTCAACTAGTGTTTTTTAATAGCGACAGTTTCTTTAGTTTACAATGTGGTTGCATTATTATAGCAATATTGCAACAATTTGTGGATTAATAGATAAGCGGATTAAAATGCTGCATTCATAGAGTGTGGGTAAGTAAGTTGTCATTTGGCTGTCAATTTAGTGTACAAAATTGTTTATTTTGATACTTGTATTAAAAATTATAAAATATGTTTTAAAGTTAAACAAAAAATTAAGTGGTTTATAAAGGAATTTATGACTGAGATTATAAATATAATAATAATCGTGCAATCTTCTTCTATATATATAGTATAAAAGAGTAGCGTTACTGACTGACTGATTCATCATCGCACAGCCCAAACGGCTGAACATAGAATCATGAAATTTTGACACTAGATGTGTTTTTGGTTATGTAGATCCACTAAGGAGGGATTTTTGGAAATTTGTACATTTAGGGGTAAAAAAAGGGAAAAAACGGGTAAAACAGTTTTTCCTAATTATCTTACCTAATATTAGTGATACAAGAAAAATTCTTAAAATAAGCAGAATATTTGTCTGCTACTTTTTTGAAATTCGTAATTTTAGGGGAGGAAATGTGTAACAAAAGTGATTTTGTTACCTTTTTTGGCCCTTTATAACTTTTTAACTAATAAACAAAAAACAATTTTTGTAAATATTTTGAATATATCTCCCAAAATTAGGAGACACCTGTTGCGAAATTTTTTAAAAATCATTTTGGTTGTAAAAGTGAGAAAACTGTATTTTTGGTACTTTTTTTAGAACACTAAGAAAACTTTTCGATTTTTTAAAGTATTCCTATTAAATTACGTTTTAACTCTATAATATTTATTGAAACAAATTTTTGCCATTTCACTGGGGAAAAAAGTACCAAAAATGGGAAAAACGGTAAATTTAATTTTATTCAAAATCATTGAGCCAATTTTTATAAAATTTGAAAAAGTAGTTTATTTACTCACACAAAATAAGCTATTGGTATATTATTTTGGAATTCGAGTACTAAGGGCTATATAGGACCAAATTCGAGTAAATTGTTTGGTACTTTTTGAAAGCACAATTTTTCTGGAACAAATTAATGCAGATTTGAATCGTTTGAGTTTTATTTGTGATATATAATATTAAATGCGGAACATTTTGTAAACTTAATTCTCAAAAAAGTATATTTCTAAGCGAAAAGGGGAAAAATTATACTATTTTTATCAATTTATTCCACTTTTGGTACTTTTTCTTTCTTCAAATGATAGTCTTTGTATGTTCTATAATATGAATTTAAAACACATGATTATTAAACATACACGGTCCTCTTTGAATAAGATTATTTAAGAGAGAACTTATTTGTACTTTTAATCTCATAAATGGTACTTTTTAAATTTTCTAAAATATTCCATCTAGGAACATAAATTTTAACATACATTGTCTTGACTGAATAATATTATGTAAGTGGGAACTCTTTGGTACTTTTCCATTCTTCCAATAGTACCTTTTGGATTCTCTATAATGGTTAACCGAAACACATGACACACGGTCCTTATTAAATGAGAATTTATTGAGAGAGGTTGTTGTACTCTTTCGTTTTTCCGATGGTACTTTTTGATATTTTCACGATATTAAACATAGAAATATAAAATTTAAAATGTAGAGAACCTAGAGGGACTTTTGGTACTTTTTCATTCATCAACTTATATTTTTTGAATTGTCTATAATATTGAACACAGAAATATAAAATTTTTGATGAAATAACAATCTATAAGAGGTATTTTACTTTTTTAACAAATAGTACTTTCGAAATTTTCTATAATGTGGAAGTTTAGTTTAATGAAACTACAAATACAAGCTTCTTCTTGAATACGAATTCATTCACGTGATATTGAATGTAAAAAACCGAAACATTAAAAAAATGTTTAATTAATTTTCTATAAAATAAACAAAATTTTGTATTAGGGTAGCGAAGCATCCAGGGTATGCTAGTAATTTTATAATTTTGTTTAGATTCCATATTCTTCTTCCAAACATATCAAATATTCACTTTGATTTCATTTTATTTGAAAACATTGTTTACCTTTCTAATATTTTAATCTGAAACTAAAATTAATGTCTTAATTTGTGTGTGAGTGTGTGTTTTGAATGTTGATGTATTTAACATAATTTGAAACTTGATGTTATAAATGAATACTTCTGCTGGTGTCTCATACACATGTGAGATGAAAATTAGGTGTGATATTTTATATCCCTAACAGAAACACTAACAAATAGACTGACGGACATAATAAGTCCGTTTTTGTATCTAATAAAAAGTTCCAGAATGTATTTTGCGAAATTTTAAAAATATTTCTTATTGTGACAAATTGTTTCCAAATAAAATTAATTCACACACTTATTTTCCCCCCGTGTGTGTATAGATATATGTATGCGAATAAATTAGTACATGTGATAAATTAAACCGCATACATAAATGAGAAAACACACACACAACGCATAAGTAATATGTTAATTTTGACATTGCTCATACGCTACAGTACACTAAACCTGTACGTGCTTCTTAATTTATAAACATTTAAAGAGGGAATTCTCTACCGTTAAGGACAGGGGGACTAAACGCAAGAAGGATTAAGCCAGCAACCTATAACACACATACACACAAACAAACCACAATGTCAAGAGAGAAAGAGATAAAAACAAGAAACATAACAAAAGCTAATGTCTAACAATTTATAATTAAAGTAAACAAAAAGAAACTTCCCCTTTTTAACCGCAAAGCTTTAAAAATAAGCACTCATGCAGGCTTATAAAGTGACATACACATACAGAGAGATACTTGTACAAAGAATGTTGTTAACAATAAATTATTTTGTAAAAATATAAAGTAGAATATTTAAAAACAGAGAACTGTATGATAAAGCAAAGGAGAGGTAAACCAAAGGAAAATATGTTGGTTTTAAGGTGGATTTTTTAAATGAAATTGTTATAAAGTCAAGAAATTTTTAATATTTAAAAATAAATTAAATATTTTGTCAAATAACTTTAAAGCGGTTTTGTTTGTTAACTTTAATATTTTTGTAACCTCCACCATAAGCAGTGGTGTTAGAGGGTATACATATATAAGTTTCTCATTCCGTATGTAATACCAACAAATATTCATCTGACACCCAAAAAAGTGCTTATCAAATTCCGAGTGATTTAGCTATGTCCGTCTGTCTGGGAAGAGTTATGAATCAAAATTTAAACAAAATTTTTTGCACATTCTAATACAATTTTCACAAAAACTAAGTAATACAGATGAAAATTTTCTGAATCGGTCAATAATTAGTTAGTTAGTTAGTTAGTTAGTTAGTTAGTTAGTTAGTTAGTTAGTTAGTTAGTTAGTAAGTTAGTTAGTTAGTTAGTTAGTTAGTTAGTTAGTTAGTTAGTTAGTTAGTTAGTTAGTTAGTTAGTTAGTTAGTTAGTTAGTTAGTTAGTTAGTTAGTTAGTTAGTTAGTTAGTTAGTTAGTTAGTTAGTTAGTTAGTTTTAGTTAGTTGTTAGTTAGTTAGTTAGTTAGTAGTTAGTTAGTTAGTTAGTTAGTTAGTTAGTTAGTAGTAGTAGTTAGTTAGTTAGTAGTAGTTAGTTAGTTAGTTAGTTAGTTAGTTAGTTAGTTAGTTAGTTAGTTAGTTAGTAGTAGTTAGTTAGTAGTAGTTAGTTAGTTAGTTAAGTAGTTAGTTAGTTAGTAGTTAGTTAGTTAGTTAGTTAGTTAGTTAGTTAGTTAGTTAGTTAGTTAGTTAGTTAGTTAGTAGTTAGTTAGTTAGTTAGTTAGTTAGTTAGTTAGTTAGTTAGTTAGTTTAGTTAGTAGTTAGTTAGTTAGGTAGTAGTTAGGTAGTTAGTTAGTTAGTTAGTTAGTTAGTTAGTTAGGTAGTAGTTAGTTAGTTAGTTAGTTAGTTAGTTAGTTAGTAGTAGTTAGTTAGTTAGTTAGTTAGTAGTTAGTTAGTTAGTTAGTAGTTAGTTAGTTAGTTAGTTAGTTAGTTAGTTAGTATTAGTTAGTTAGTTAGTTAGTTAGTTAGTTAGTTAGTTAGTTAGTTAGTTAGTAGTTAGTAGTTAGTTAGTTAGTTAGTTAGTTAGTAGTTAGTAGTAGTAGTTAGTTAGTTAGTAGTTAGTTAGTAGTTAGTTAGTTAGTTAGTTAGTTAGTTAGTTAGTTAGTTAGTTAGTTAGTAGTTAGTTAGTTAGTTAGTTAGTTAGTAGTTAGTTAGTAGTAGTTAGTTAGTTAGTTAGTTAGTTAGTTAGTTAGTTAGTTAGTTAGTTAGTTAGTTAGTTAGTTAGTTAGTTAGTTAGTTAGTTAGTTAGTTAGTTAGTTAGTTAGTTAGTTAGTTAGTTAGTTAGTTAGTTAGTTAGTTAGTTAGTTAGTTAGTTAGTTAGTTAGGTAGTTAGTTAGTTAGTTAGTTAGTTAGTTAGTTAGTTAGTTAGTTAGTTAGTTAGTTAGTTAGTTAGTTAGTTAGTTAGTTAGTAGTAGTTAGTTAGTAGTTAGTTAGTTAGTTAGTTAGTTAGTTAGTTAGTTAGTAGTTAGTTAGTTAGTTAGTTAGTAGTTAGTTAGTTAGTTAGTAGTTAGTTAGTAGTTAGTAGTTAGTTAGTTAGTTAGTTAGTTAGTTAGTTAGTTAGTTAGTAGTTAGTTAGTTAGTTAGTTAGTTAGTTAGTTAGTAGTTAGTTAGTTAGTTAGTAGTTAGGTAGTTAGTTAGTTAGTTAGTTAGTAGTTAGTTAGTAGTTAGTTAGTTTAGTAGTTAGTTAGTTAGTTGTTAGTAGTTAGTTAGTTAGTTAGGTAGTTAGTTAGTTAGTTAGTTAGTTAGTTAGTAGTTAGTTAGTTAGTTAGTTTAGTTAGTTAGTTAGTTAGTTAGTTAGTTAGTTAGTAGTAGGTAGTTAGTTAGTTAGTTAGTTAGTTAGTTAGTTAGTTAGTTAGTTTTTAGTTAGTTAGTTAGTTAGTTAGTTAGTTAGTTAGTTAGTTAGTTAGTTAGTTAGTTAGTTAGTTAGTTAGTTAGTTAGTTAGTTAGTTAGTTAGTTAGTTAGTTAGTTAGTTAGTTAGTTAGTTAGTTAGTTAGTAGTTAGTTAGTTAGTTAGTTAGTTAGTTAGTTAGTTAGTTAGTTAGTTAGTTAG